TGCTTCTCCTCTTCAAAGCTTTAACCTGTCAAAACCCTGCAAGAAGAGACTTTTTAACTTCTCTTGGCTCTCCCCTTTCATTTTTGGCTCTAGGAAGAAAGGCATATGCTTATTTTCATAAATGGATGAGTGCCTTGAAGTTACAGGATCTGATAACACACATTTAGAATGATTACTCTGTGATCTCTGGAATCATCAGCAGGGAGGTCACTGTACATGACTCTCCCTCCCCTCGCAATGACAAGACCTAATGGAATCTGGCCTGTGGAGTGTCTGGGCTGTGAGTGAGACTGGTGTCAGAGCAAGTGCAAGCAAGTTCCCCGAAGCTCAGCCTTTACAACATCATGTAACTCAAACATTGCTTCGAGGCACCACCCACCTTTTCCAGTGGGAATCTACTGCAGTGATTCTCTTGGCAGCAGCATAAGGGTAGTGGGGGAGGGAGAGTGTTAAGTACGTGCTTTCATGGGGGATAGTGGATGTGAGTGGGTTGAAACAAGGAGGGTGGGAATGACAAGCAAAGATGGAATAAATAACCACCACTGCCACCAAAATATTCTGCTGAAGGATGAGGGAGTACACCCTACAGCTGTTAGCACTGTTCAGCATATTTTGCATATTTACATATACCAAGTATTTCCAAACAGCCTTGTGTTTGTTTTAAAATCCCACACGGAGATGTCTGGTAAAGTTGTCACAGTGGAAAGCTTATTTTCTTGGTGGTATTTGTAAAATATTTTCAAAATTCTCTGTATACATCATAAGTTGAGCAGAAGAATCCTGTCACTAACCACATTAGAAAGAAATTGAATTAGTACATCTATGCATCAGAAAATACTCAGAGCAAAACCTGAGGCAAAGCTAGCATCTGGTTGGTTGAAGCCATTTTTAAAAAATTATTTTTGGGTCAATAAAAAGTGAAACCCAAAACATCACCCAGTGATCCTTGGTTAGCCCTGAAGCCACCAACATGGGATTTTCTTAATTGCTGTTCACTGTAATCTTTGATTAAAAAGTGGTGTGTCTGTAAAATGATAACACTGGATAGATTTCTCATATAACCATTTTCTTTGGGGCACACAAAGTCCACAAAACCACATATAGTCCATTTGAAAAAGATTAAGGACCTTCCAGCAGAAGGAATGGGAGTAGTTTAAAGCTGTATTTTCCTTTTAGCAAGATCCACAAGAAAAGGATAGAGTGTCATGCTTAAAGGGGAACAGATTCTGTATTTTTTGGCAAGATATTAAATCCTCTGTTGCTATATTTGGCTCCCTGCAAATAGCCTCTGTACAAGTGCAAAGCAAAGATCAATGCTGGTGTTCTTCATTCAGTCACAGCCAAACTTGGTATGGAAAGTAAAACACTTATGCTTGAGTGTTGTTTCTAAGGGAGTCTTGAAGCCCGTTTATTGGTCAACAGCATTCCAGCAAATAGGTATCTACTTTGCACATTAAAAATATCAAAATGTTTGCTTTCTCTAACAGTTTTTCCACTGGTTAACTGATAGCAGATGTAATGACTCAATCTGAACAGAAATGTAAAGTTTTACCATGTCGACGTGATCCTATATAGACATGTAGCCAAGTGTGTTCCACAGGTCAAATGAGATGCTTGGCTACTCAGGACATCACAGGATGGGCCTCTGTTCCCAAAAAAGGAAGCAAGACAATTAAATGGTAGTTGATTGTCCGTAGAGAACACACACTTCAGCTAGGAAGAATCTGTACCAGATGTCCTGATCTCCACCCCGCTGTATGCTTGTCTTACAGAAATACCACAAAACCCTTTAGACTCCAAGGCACTCTATTAACAACGTGAAATGTTTGAAATTGCAACAGGAATTTCCTTCATATGCAATTATTTAAGAGAATGTAGATGAATCCTACACAAATGCCCATTGCTAAAACTTTATGCCTTGGTAGTTTCAGTGATGTATTAAATCCCACCAGATCACAAAGTTGATAAAACAACCCATAGACAACAAAGAGTAATCATGGTTGGTAGAATAATGGCCCCCTCTCTCAAAGATGACCACATGCTAATCCTCAGAAGCTGTAAATTACCTTACACAGGAAAAAGGGATTTTGCAGATGTGACTAAGCTAAGGGCCTTGAGATGGGGAACAGATTCTGTATTTCTCCCTGGAATTTTCCAGGGAGAAACAATGTAACTTCAAAGGTTTTTAAATAGGTAAGAAGGAGGCAAAAGAGAGGGTCAGAGTGATCCTGTGGGAGAACTTGACCAGGTATTACCAGCTTTGAAAGGAGAAAGAAGGCTATTATCAAAATTCTCCAGAAACAGTAAACAACAACAAAAGAGACGCTTCTGACACTCAGAGGAGATGAGCTATGACTTTGATTTTTAACCTGGGACCAGTGTTTAATATTTGGCCTATAGGATCATGATAATAAATATAAGCTGTTTAAACCAATGAGTTTGTGATAATTTTTTGAGCAGTCATAGAAAACACCTAACACTAATCTACTCTAAATGGGGCAGCCTGTGCCAAATTCTTTCACGTGTAATGCTGGAGGGTCTACTGATTTACATACTGTTTTCCAGACTTTGCACTTTTACATTAAAGATCCATTTAATAGAACAAATCAAAGGGCCTCTGTAAGGAAACTCTAGCCTTCTTAAAAATATTAAGATTTTGAACTGGTTCTTTCCAGGTGCTCTTCTTTAATGTCAATGAATTGTTAGCAAAGTTTTGTTTTTCCACACTACTTACAGCCAGTTCTGTACCAACAAAGCTAAAAGAAAACAAAAATAAGACATTCCTCTTCTAAAGGGTCAAATTGGTAACTAACTTTAGAAGCACTGTATTAATAAATTCAAAAGCATAAGGCAATTATGCAATTATTACAGCCCATTTCACTCCTGCTTCCACTACATATTACAATCTACTCCTCAAAGTGACATATCAATTTTTTGGTTCTAAAAATTGACCAACGTAGTGGCAGGAAGGGCACAGTGCAGGTTTTCTGTGACCCGAGCAGACAGGGTAAAGGAGGAGAGAGTCCTGGAGGCCTCAGTGGCTTTGCAGGCTTTTATTGGGATTTACCAGGTACACAGCAGGCAAGGGTGCAGGGGGGCTGGGAGGTTTTCATTTTGTCTTGGCTCTCGGCATTCTCTGCTTCCCTTTCACTCTTGTTCTGCTTCTCTGTTCTCGTGGTTCTCTGGCGTCCCCGTGACGCTGCCCTTATAAGCCCAGTCTTAGCCCAGGTGTACACACTTAAGCAGGCCCACACCCCACTCCAGTTGCCCGCCATCAGGCATGTATTCAGGACCACAGGGATCCATCATCAAGCCTACTGGCAGGAGGGCAGAAAAACTTGATACTTTTTCACTTACCCTACCCTACAACCTGATAAAAAATAATCCTTAAGATACGTTAGTTTCCAAAGACATTTAGAAGTTGCTTAATTGAATAAGAAGAAATCAGATAGCTTTAGATAATTGTCAAGAAATGCAAACCAAACTACATGCTACATCAAAATATAAACATTAAGTTCACATTAAATTATTTATTGAACAAATTGAAAATGACATGTTTTTATTACAAAGTCCTCCATCATCTTAAATCATCGACACACACTTATGAGGCCAGCACTTAAAGAATGAATAGAAATATGAAAATGCCTTTCCCTAACCCCATGAAAAACAGAAAAAAATATTTCATAATCAGCTTATAAAGCCAAAAGTTTTATGATTTATATATTTTTTGTATATTAAAAATGACAACACAGCTAAGATTAATGAAGTTTTCTTTTTTGGAAATGTAAAATTAAAATAGCATAAAATTGCTCATAGAAGTAGCAAATCTGAAATTTCACTGCATTTCAATATTCTAAGACAATATTTTTATTATTAGTTTTCAGTTTACCTAATCAAGAAACAAATATAATGTTCAACACACTATGTATTTCTTTATAAAATTATTTCACCATACCTCGACTTATATAATGAAAACAAATTATCCATGTTTTGCCTTTCAGCATAAGCATTTAAAAAGATACAAAGAATTCACATGAAAACCCTTCCCTATATTGTATATCCAGAAAAATGTATGGAATAGTATTTTTAAATCAGATATAATATCCAAGAGAGTAAATATTCTAAGTAATTAAATCAAGTGTGTAAATAATCATTAACTTTTACCCTAGCCACAATATAGAAAAAAATGTACATCTCTACTAGTATAAAGAGATATTATTAGAAAAGTTCACATTTATGTATATACCAAATGAGCTAATTAAAGAGTCTTATATTCCAAAAGTTATGAGGACAAAATTTAGTAGTCCAGAAAATTTTAAAAAGGAAGCTAATTGGTGGTGACCTACCCTTTCTAAAGGGTGTCATTACTTATACTATGCAATTGGTAAATTAAACATAATTAGTATTTCTTGAAACCAAAAGGAGATTCAGATAAATGTATTGGATCAAATTGATTTTTAATTTGAATAGAACACTAGTTTTATCAATTATTTGACACAGAAATTTTTTTTAAACAAACAAAAAGCACAGTGGACAATAATAGAAACAGAGTAAGATATTTAACAATAATGACTATCTTAGTATTTTGGAAAATGTATAGGGTAAAATTCCCAGAGAGCACGAAAAAAAAAAAAAAAAAAAAAAACTACTGACAAATTGTGAAAGTCTGTTCTGTGATCCGTCTCTATGACCAAGTTACCAAGATATGATTAACACTTTGAAGCTGTTGAGATTAAGGTTACCTTGCAGTTACCTTGCAGGGTTACCTTAATCCCCAATCTCCAGTTATCCACTTTAGTGTCATCTACGTATTTGTCTTCAACATAGTTGTTGAATTACAGCTTTCATCTGATTTTTCTAAATGGACTTTAATAATAGTTTTAATAACACATTTAAAGGACTCCTATACCATGTTTTTAGATACATTTTAATTTTTCTCTCAGGCAAACCTTAAGTTTTCTGAATGATGTATCTTTTATCCTGGAGGATGGGGGGGGTGGGGTGGCGGGGGTGGGGGGAAACAAACCCTGAGTTCTGTATGGTAAAATTAACAGGCTGATTTCAGTCTTGGTCTCATACAGTTTCTGCTTTTCTGTTGTCCTTCTGTCTGCTGTGAAGGTGATCAATCACAGGAATTCTAACTGCCATCAATATGCCTTTGTAATGGTGATGGTTCCAGTGAACTCTTTCCATCTTCAGTAACTGACACAGTGTCGACATCTGCTTCCAATAAAGTTGTTTCTTTTTTTTCTCAAATAGAGAAAATCTGCTGACTGAGATCGTAAAGAGTTGGGGTTTTTTTCTCTCCTTTCATGGGGAAGACTTTTTTTCCACCATATTTTGCAATTTTTCCTTCAAGGCAGTTAAAAAAAAAAAAAATCTGCTAACTTCAAAAAAGATGTTTTCCCCAGGTGCTAAGGAAGCCCAAAACATAACTCAGAAATATCAACTTTGGTGATTAAATAAATCTACTACCTTAATTTTGGAGAAAAATCATACAGGATGCCAGATGAAGAAAATTTTGGAATATGTAAGGAAATTCAGCGTTGGACCTGTATACTACTAAGAGGTTAATTTACTTTCTTTCATAATTTGTACACTAAGAAAAACAGGATAATTAAGAAATTTATATTTTATCTGGAAAATCTAGTTAAAGGCAGAGATTCTCTTGTTACAGTCTCTTATGGGAAAAGAATAATCCTTTACTGGATTGCTATAAAAATGGGTATGGAAAGGAAAGATAAGGGGCATTTGGGAGTTTTATTATCACTTACTTAACTATTAGACATTTGTAGTAGCTGTCATTTATTAAACATCTGTAATGAACCAGATGAATATTACTACTAATCTCCATAGCCTGCCAGTTAGGTATTATATTCCCACTTTACTCATCAGATAAATAAAGCCCACAATCACACATAAAAACTTGTGGCTAATTTAGAATTCAGAGAATGACTTATGTTGAATCCTGTAATCTCATCCATTAATTCATCTGCTTCTCTGTTCATCCACAGTCAGAACCCTAACGATAATATTTTCTTTTCCTATCACTTAAAATCATTGCCAAATTGATTTATTTCAGCAAATATTATGAAAAATATATAAAAGGAACACTCAGTAAGGGGTAGAATGCAGTTTCTTGAAATATAGTTTCCCACTTTCAATGACAAGAGTAAATTAAACCAGAGAGCAAATACACAGTTTAGATAGATTCTGTCATATATTCTGCAGGTATGAGAGTAGAAATGAGCTATTACTATTTCCATAATAAGGAGCTCCTCAAGGGCATATTTTATTCCAGTGCCTAGAATGTCTTTTTTAAGCTTATTATAAAATTAAATAATTAATTATTCAATTATTTGTTAGCACTGAGTTATCAGTTGCAAATTAGCAAGCAATTCTAGCCATTTTTTCTTAAAATAATAAATGATTTTTAAAAGGAAAGAGAAAAATTAAAGGGAAAAGTTAGAGGGGATGTTTAAGCTTCTTCAGAATCACTAATTTTAAAATGTTAGAAGTTCTTTTCAATAAAGGAGGGACCAAATAATCAGTTAGCATCTAAATTGTCCCCATTACACTTTTCCTCCACTCCTGATGGTTTGGTGGTCAAAGTGTACATAGATTTTCCAATGCCTAGTCCAAGATCTTTAGAAAGCTTGAATAGCATTATTTGTAAAATAGTCAAAGGTGACATGGTTTCAAAAGAAATTGGGGATGGGGGAACAGTGTTAGCACTCAAAACAGTTGTTTGAAGTTCCCTAAGTTCAACAACATTATTTTGATGTGAGCAAAACAAACCCCAATGGTAACAGCATTTTAAACTTAAAATAAGTTTAGAATATTTTGCTGAAGTACAACTCATTCTCTGTTATGACTTCTGATAGCAATTGTAATCTGATAAGGGAAACCAAACAATTTTAGAGACATGCACTCTTTTTCTCCTGTTACTTAGACTTGGATCCTCTCTTCTGTGGGGGCAATGTGCCAACAGTACCTAAGCCTGTTCTCACTGAAGATCTTACTGACAAATCATTCCAGAATACAGCAGAATTCAGGACTCCAACTCTTTTTAGGCCCTGGTGCCAAGAAATGTTTTATCAGGTAGTTACTAGGAGTAACGCAGACCAAGGTAACAATTTAGGAGACACTGTTTAATTGTCTGCTTCTCTCCTACAGTTCTACTTCAGTGGAGAGTAAGGAAAGGAAGAGAAAGTTAATACTTTTCTCCTCCGCTTAACTGGGAAAATTCACTTACTCTGACTGCAAGTACAACACTATTCTAAGAGAAACTGCAAAAATGTTAATAGCTTCCTAAGGGAAGAAGAGGGAAATAAATAATCCCCAGTGAGTCATCCCATGAGAACTCCAGAATACTTGTCTTTGAAAACTCAGGAGGACACAAGATAAACAAATTTTATAGATTCACTCAACTCTGTAATTCATAGATTTGGCAAATTACAATTTTATCAAATCAAATTGCTATTCAAAGCTGGTTCAGAAGGAGCAATGTATGGAATGATAAGCACAGAAGAGTAGTGTATACAGGTTTATAACTCACAGGACACACCAGAAAAGAAAACTAATGCATAATATGGGGTAATAGAAAAATTAGGAAATTATCTGTGAGAAATCTACATGCTGTGTTGCTCCTATATTTAAAATGTTCATCCACATTACATAGCAATGTATGATGGAATGTGGCATTTTACTAACCATTGCATTTCACATTGGGGTGGGTGGGACAGCGATGGGGAATATTTGATAACTTCTACCAAGTTAAAACTTCTGTATGAGGCTAACTTTTAAATAGAATCTATTTGTGTAAGCAGCTAAAATAAAGAATGGATTTTACATTGAAAGTCTTAAAAATATCAGTAACCGCTATTATCATAGTTCTTATATTTTTCCGAACAAGTTCTTAATGATAATTTCAGCTTTACCTTACTTAGAGCCTCAGGACAGTGTCAAGTTAAATCCTGGGTTTTCAATAATGTATTTCCAATAATAAATTATCAATTTATAGCCCAATCTCAGTAACTGTATCCTAAAACCCAATTTAAAATCTTTGTTTTAATTTTTTTTAAGAATTAGATCAGCTAAAAACTGATTTAAACCCAAAAGGAAGAATCTGTCAAAACCCATGTTTAAAATAGTACATAAACAATATATTATTTTTTCAACTTGCATTGGTAGGCAACATTTAGGAAATAGCTATTAATCAAAGGACTTGGGATGTGTCTAGTACATTTCCACATTATGCAAACTATTTTCAGGAAAAAAAATGTCCACTTAAAATATGACTTTTAAAGTTTCAGGGAGTGAATTAGAAAGAAGGAAACGAGTCACTGGTCCTCGCGGGTAGCGTGGTTAAATGCATTTTTTTCCCAATAGTTGTATAAAAACTCTGGTTGGATGGATGAGAAAGAAGAATGAATATTCTAAGAAAACTCTCTATAAGGTTGAAAGCTTATTCACCTTCTTTTTAATAAATCTCTAAGTAATCTTTGGGAGAAATCAAATTAATGAACTATCCTTTCTTTAGTGTGGTCATTAAAAACTTCCTTTTCAAGTTATACATATAACTCCAAGCTAAGTGAGCTAGCATTGAACTAAATCTTCACTGAGATTTAATTTAAGACAATACTATAATTGGCTTGGCTATGGGGTGACTTTTGTCAAAGGAGAAGATATCAAACACTTGAGGTAACCTAGAAAGCACAGAGCATATCACAGACATCTTAAAGACAAGCATTTTAAACATTTTTGCCAGTGCTTCTCTGGATCAAGTTCTTGAAACAGAACTTAACCATTTTTACAATATTAAAAAAAATACATCCCTCAAAAATAGCCCATCAATGCTAAATCAAACTTTCTGTATTTCTACAAAAATAGATGCACATAGAGCTACAAAATTGTATTCCTGAAAGAATGAGCATTTTCATTTGTGGTTCATCTTTTCCTGATAAGGTGGCTGGTTCAAAAAATAAATCAAAATGAAACAAAAAGTAAACCATGTATTGATAAAAGCAAGACAAAAAAGAGTTGCACGGTTGGCAAAGGCTCAGATGAGGGAAAAAACAAACAAAATGCTTTTCTTCAATGTCTAGGACCCACTCTGCTTCCTCAAGAAAAGGTTCCAAACTACAGTCAGTTGGCTGATATTTCCTCTTCTTCCATGTCTATTGTGTCCCATTGCAGAACAGAAAGTCCTGGTAGCATCTCGCCTCAGTGGGTCCTTAGATTCACACTCCAACCCAACTTGAAAATACTGTGTATTTCAGTACCATGGTGATTCCTTGCTCTTGTCTTGATGCTGCAGACCTAGAAAAGGTAACAGAAGAAAAATGAAAAGCATTAATACAGTGATCAAAAATGGGCATAACCTCCAATGCATTGGCTATAGAAACCAAACAGATAAGCTGGGCAACAACTGAGAGGTGTGCCCTAGGACATTGTGATCTCTAAAAGAATTCTGTGATTGAACTCAATAATTTTCAAAAAGCCAGCTAACACATGGGGTGATAAGAACCCTAGAAGGGGCCTCCTTGGTGGCCTAGAGGCTGTTTCAGTGCTATCACTACCACCAATGAGTTCGATCCCTAGCCAGGGAGCTGACCCACAGGGTGCAGCAGACCTCTCCTGTCTCGCCTGCTGTTCCCCTTAGTGTATTTCAGTAGATCTGCCTGTTCTGCTTCCCGCTCCGTCTCTGATGAGTCCTCTTACCTCACCTCACCCCACCCCCACACTTCTGGCCTGCACCCCAGTTCATCTATGCAAAAATAAAATCTTTAAAAAGAAGAAGAATCCTAAAAGACCAGTGCTATTTGTGCAGTACAAATTCTTTACTGTGTTTTTTCTTTTAATTGGATTATAAGTGAATACAAAATAAAATATATATAGCGAAACATTTTTATTTATAACTTCAAAAGGAGATGCTATGAGGGGAAAGGAGTGGTGTCCACAATCTTGGAGCATTTAGGCAGCTTTTTTTTTTTTTTTTTTTTTTTTTTTTTGGTGGGACCCTTGCAGGTGGCCAGGGAATGAACTGGCGCTGCAGAAGCTGCGGGCAGCCTCAACCGCTGTGCCACCAGGGGAGGCCCCATTTAGGCAGCATTTTAATTAATCCTTTCCGGCACCCATCAATATGATAATTTTGAACTAAAATTGAATAAATCTAGTGTTAGTTTGAAATGTATCTGTAATAGGATTGCTACAAATTATGGTAAATAATTAGACAAGGTAAAAAATTAAGTTTAATGTTGCCAGTAAAAAATACTTGGTTCATAGCTAGTAACACAAACCTATATTCTATTTATATTTATTTATTTTTATCTCATATTTCTCCTGAAGTTATTTTAGATGTCTTATAGAAATCTATACTTCATAGCAAGAAAATTTACAGGTAAGTTAATAAAAATAGTGACAACAAAAGGAAATGTGAATATTAGTGAATTCCAACTCCTAATTAAAATGATTTAGAAAACATTATCAAGAGAAGACTCAAAAAAATATGATTCTGATCTGATCTAGTATAGTACATTGGTCAATTTCTGACATATGCACATAGCATAGTATCTTTCTCTTATACCCACTTGAAGTAATTTTCTTCAGTCCTGATGCACAATTGTTTACAGGAGTGAAAACTGAGATTTATGCAGACTCTTAGGTTATTTAGAACCAAATATCAAAACCTGAAGAGAAAGCTTTTAAAAAAACAGTGGAGAGAAATGCAGCGAGATTACTGTTGAATGGGTGCCATGATCACAAGTTTTCTTGATCTTTGATCTAAAACTGTTTTTAAGTCTGGATTGAGTATCATTTGACTGAATAGTTATATGAGCCAGTATGGTTTTAAATTGTAATTGTTATTAACACTGTTGTAGTGATGTTATTTCATGCCTCTTAACTTGTCAAAAAATTCATAAAACAAAAGGTATCACTACTAAAACAGACACAATTAGTTGTTGATGGAAGATATTAAGACCATCTCCAACAGACTGATAAAGGGAGAGAGAACAAACACAAGACAAAAAGAACCTCATGGAAGCACAAGTCACTCTGTTCTCTAACATCTGTGGGAGAAAATGGGGAGAAAACACAACTTCCTGAATGGCAAAAGATTAATCCCATCCTAATTCATGTTCTCAAGTGTATTAGAATCATGTTCTGATACACGAATTAATAACCTTCCCTTCCCATTTAAAAGGGAATAAAGAGATATAAAAGGAGGGGGCCTCCCTGGTGGCGCAAGGGATTAAGACGCAACCTATGAAGCTGTCCACAGCCACTGCAGCATGAGTTTGATCCACGGCCAGGGAGCAACCCACATGGTGCAGCAGACCTCTCCTGACTTGCCTGCTGCTCCCTTCAGCGGTGTTCTTCAGTCAATCTGCCTATTCTGTTCCCCCACTCTTGTCTGGTGAATCCTCGCACCACCCCCCCCCCAACAGCTCTGGCCTGTACCCCAGTTCTTGTAAGCATAAATAAATAAATCTAAAAAAAAGAGATATAAAAGGAGGAGGATGAACTAAAGAGATCTGATATATACTGATTCACTCTGATTTGCTTTATTCATTTTCAAATGATTTTGTGGTTAGAATAATTCACAACCTGACACAGTCCCTGTTGGGTGACTCTTATAATTCAAACCACCAATATGCTGACTGCATAAATATTTTTTTCATTATTAAAGCATCTCCTCTTCGGTATGACTCAGTGTTTCCACACTGAAGGCCCCATCAATCTATAGAATGTCAGCACTGCAAGTCATGAATAGTGCTGGAATCATCAAGGAGTTCCAGTGCTTTTTTATCTTAAAAAAAAAAAAAAAAAGGTAATCCAAAGTTTGTTTTGAAAAGACATATGAATCCTTCAAAAATCATGTTAGCCTCTTTCTGTGGACAAGTAATACAATAGTTAACATAGGTTTAGATTTTCCAACCAGAATAACAGAAGGCATTCTCTCATTATAACTTTGTCTTTGGTGGTTTTTGTTTCCAAGTCTTTGCACTATTACAATGCAAATTCTAAAAAATAAAAAATTGGGACTCCCCAGTGGAGCAGCAGGTTGAGCGTAGCACTGTGAAGCTGTCCACAACCTCTGCCCTGCTGGTTCAATTTCTGGCCAGCCCAGGAGATACCCACATGGTGCGGCAGACCTCTCCTGTCACGCCCACTGTTCCCCTCAGCAGTGTTTTCAGTCTGTCTGCCTGTTGTGCTCCCCATCCTGTCTCTGGTGAATTCTCTCACCCTCCCGTGCCTCTGGCCTGTACCCCAGTTCTTGTATAAATAAATCTTTAAAAAAATAAATAAAAATAAAAAATCATTTCATTTATGACGTGAAATATACTAAATTTCTAATGTGGTCCTGTGGTTTAGCTTCTTATTGGTGGTGGGGTAAAAAAATTAAATGATTTCTATAATTACCAGTTATTTAAAGCTATAACTTTCAAAATAAGTGTAAGGAAAGTACATGAAAATGAGCTGCAAACAAAACCCCTGACTACTATTAAGATGCAACATGGGCCTCTCTAGTGGTGCAGGGGTTAGAAACTCAGCACTATCAACTTATCTCCAGCCACTGTGGTTTGCATTCCATCCTGGGCCAGGGAGCTACCCACATGGCACAGCAGATTAACCTGTTTTGCCTGCTCTTCCCCTCAGAAGTGCATTTCAGTAGATCTGCCTGTTCTGCTCCCCACTCTGTTTCTGGTGGATTTTCTTACTCCCCTCACCTCTGGCCTTCACCCCAGTTCTTGTATGCATAAGTAAATAAAAAATAAATCTTTAAAAATATGCAACAGAGAAGCAGGAATATTCTTATTCTTATTAGCTAACTGATGAGTACATCAGACTGTTCAAGAGCCAGCCAGTATGTTTAGCTTTCCCCACAGGGTTAAAGAGGACAAAATTGTTAGTCCATACTCTTTATGTGATCCACATATACTTGGGATTTCTCCAAATTTTCTTACCAGAACACAAAACCCACTCTGCTAGAATTTTGCTCCTATTCAGATCTTTTTGCCTTCTTTCTTTCTTTCTTAACTCAAAATTTTTTAAAGATTTATGTATACATACAAGAACCAGGGTACAGGCCAGATGTATAGGAGGGTGAGAGGATTCACCAGAGACAGAGTAAGGAACAGAACAGGCAGACTGATGGAAATACACTGCTGAGGGGAGCAGCAGGCGAGACAGGAGAAGTCTGCTATGCCTCAACTCAAATTTATGTGATATTAGCTTATAACATATCCTGAAATCTCTCTACTTATAATCTGAAATCACCTATGTTTACCTTCTTGATATTAGTACCTCAATTTTAGTTTTATTCTTCAATCTATGAGATTTTCAATAGAAAGAAAAATAAACTTCATAAAAAATTACCAATCATTTTTCTTAGAGTTGAATATGTCAGGCATTATGCTAATTATTTTACATGAAATGTCTCATTTAATGTTTCCAGTCATGCTTATAGTAATATCTATTTTACAAATGAAAAAATGGAGACTAACAGAATTCATACACCATTAAGTGGTAGAGTTAAGACTGAAAACAAGGTGGTCTGAGATCCACATAAACAGTCTTCACCACAATGTACTTGGCTCCCCTTGTAAGGACTAGCTGGCTGCAGCTGGTGGTCTCCGGCACGAGCTACGCCTCCCAACTACTCAAGTCAAAATCCTTGTATAAAATCAATTCAAAAGGGCCTCCCTGGTGGCGCAGGCAGTTGAGCACTGCACTGTGAAGCTGTCCGGAGCACAGGTTCGATCCCAGCTGGCCCGCGAGAATCTCACATGGCGCAGCAGACCTCTCCTGTCTCGCCCACTGCTCCCCTCAGCAGTATTTCATCAGTTTGCCTGTTCTGTTCCCCACTCTGTCTCTGGTGAATCTTCTCACCCTCCCACACATCTGGCCTGTACCCCGGTTCTAGTATAAAAATAAATAAATCTTTTAAAAAAAGTGAGAGAAAATACATTATCTCCTTTTAAAATCAATTCAAGAAAAAGTTAACATTTCTCATATTCCTTTTTGTACTGCTTAGATACACCCTGATTTAACAGAACTGATATAAGGGTTAATAAAATAGCTCTCTTGATTTTTCTTTTTTACTATACATATGTCATGCTCTTCCTAAGACACTGCAAATGATTACACAGTAGCTTGTTATACTCAAGATGACAACTGCTTGTCATAGGATGTAATATTTTTAAAATATGTATCTTTAATATAACCATGCCCTCACTCCACCATTCCCCAGTGTGAGCTTAAGGCTCATGATGTGGCTTATAAATGGACTAGAGAAAAAAAACAAAGAAATCAAA